CTATTAGAAATATTTCAAAGTTTAGTATGCTGATCGTTCGCCAAGCTAGCTTGCTTAAATAAACTCCGCCATGACATTCACGACTAGGAACGTGAACTTTTCAAAAACATTTCTAACACAGCGTCAGATTAAGGGGGACTGGCTTCTCGAGCGGGAGAGGAGAGGGCGAATGGAAGGGGGGAAGGAATTGATATGTATTGATCATTGATAGACCGTCTCAGTTACGCAAGCTTTGTCGGCTGGGCGGGTGGGGAGATCACTGATAATTTGTTCATATGAAAAAAAACGTATACATTTAGAAGTATTGTATATTGTATGTTGACTCTTATAATATTGAATAAAATAAAAACATAATATCCATTTTTAGTTATAGGTTGGCCGTCCCTTTTCAAACAAATTTATTACAAGGCGAAACACCGTCCCAGCCAATCAAAGCCGTTGCTCGCGTTTAGCAGCCGCGTTTAAAACGGCCTCTGTGTTGCATCTTTATACACGGCAGCCAGTTGTCATTATTTAAACGTGACCACCGAATCGACGCCAGGGCCACATAATTTTTGGGTAGAGTTGTACAAAGCAACAGACGATCGATTCCATTGGTCGAACTTTCCCGCGCAAATTTGTGATCGGCTGAAATTTCTCTGGCTCGACTCGGCCTGTTGCATTTCTGGGGATTTGCCTATTCAGTTGGTACTTTTCCCATACACATCTTCCCAAATAGGAAAATTCCTATACATTCATAGGAGTTTTCACTTCTGATATGATGTACAGGAAATTTCCCATACATGCGAATAGTAGAATTCCCAACAGTTTTTACAGTGTGGTTTCCCAGCTAGATGCTTAGTTTGGGTACACATCATCTCTCTCAGGACTCACTTGAGTTAAAGAAGAGGCTGACACAAGAATTATTTTGCACCTGAAAGATGCCGTGGAAAGCGGGATAACAAAAGCAATTATTAAAACAGTCGACACTGATGTACTAGTATTAGTAATATTTTTTTCCCGGGTTTAAACAGTTAAGGCCTCAGACGTGCCTGGGTTCATTTCGTGAAAAAAAAAAAAAACCGTTCATCCCTTGTCATGTTATCTCGTCAAAACTCGGGGACGAGAAGTCAGAAGCTTTAAGAGGTTTTCATGCATTCACGGGCTCCGATTTCACATCAGGTTTTCGTTTGAAGAGAAAACGATCGGCATTGACTACCCGGACTTCCGTCCCTGAAGCCACGGGGGCATTTCTGGCAATATCACAGCCCGGGGCAGATATTTCAGTTGATATCTCTCAAAACAAGCCTCAAGAGAAATATGTAAACGACGCACGATTTATTTTATCCACAACAAAATCTGTGAAGCTGCAAAATCTTCCACCCACATCAGATGCCCTAACTATGCATGTGCTTCGTGCGGCTTATATTTGTGGGCAAGTCTGGGGTCGTGCCGACCAGAAGAACAGAAGACATGCCAAGCCCAGAAGGCTGGGGGTGAATTTCAGACGATGACAGTTGGAACATAAAACGGACAGAGAAACCAATTATATGGGAGGCTTGTCAGCACGCTCTAGTAAGCTGCAAAAGCAAGAAGGAAGGCGGGGGGCGCTGTTCCTGTTGAGATGCGGCAAGTGGAGCAGTGCCCTGCACCTTCTTTGTACCGGGTGATTCAGAGAAGACGCAGGAGCGGGCGGGTCTGGGGAGAGGTGAGGAGGGGACCCGTGCGCCCGCCGAGTCGAGGGTAGGCAAACCCGCCCGCACCTGTGTCTTTTCTGCAACACCCGGTACAGTTGGGTTCGCAGCCGGGACCCACCCCCTCGGCGGCGCTCCGGGTCCGGCGAGGAGCTCGTGTCGTCCTGGGCGGCCGTCGGCTCGTGCTCGTGGTCCTCGCTGTGGTCGCGTGCTCGCGGTGGCCTCCGCCTCGCCGCCATCCTCGTGCGGGGGCGTGGCCGTCGTCGACGGCGGCCTGGTGTACGACCCCAGGGGGTGCCTAGGCGCGTGCGAGCCCCCACACGAGGATGGCGGCGAGGCGGAGGCCACCGCGAGACTTGGCCTGGGGCCTAACCTCTTAATGAACACAATCACCTTCTTCCCATCAGATGGAGGCATCAATTCAGCGTCTGGGTCTGAGCACTACGCTCAAGGATCTCGGATACACACTCGAGAACGTAGAAGTCGGAGTCGGCGGTCCCTCATGTGCTCCTTCACTCCAGCCATACTTAGAGGAGATGGATGAACTCTTAAAGCAGCTGCATGAAGAAGAAATTGAGACTCCAGACGATCCCGAAGACACTGGCGTAAGTTCTCAGACGTTAGTATAGTTATTCAAAAATGTTAATAGTGTACCAATTTTCAATTGTAAATTTTCCTACATGCAGGAAAATATCTCACACATGCCCGTCTCCGATTACCTGGAGAAGCAGTACGGGCAGCTGAATGAACACCAGCTGTATCTGATTGACCGTTTGTCTGCTCAACTGCATCATTCATTAGCCATCAAAAATGAAGGATCGAAAGGATTTTACAGAATCCTTTGCCGAAATTGGGTGACCTTTTTGGTTCACGAAGGCCTCCAAACCGATAATGTGACAACCCCTGTCCTTAACAAGGAACTTGTCGAAAAGTTTGTGAGGTATGTACCTACTCTCTATGTAGAGGTCGTGGGGGCGGGGTGAGGGGCGGTGCGGGGCGGAGCGGACAGAGGATGCCCACCGACTACTGTACTGGAGCTCTTCGTAAATGTTAATTTGTTGTCATCTCTCGCAGACTTGTCGCTAATTGCACAACCGTTGCCACGGTGAATTATGGAAAGCTGTTGTACAAGCTGCTCGATGCTGCTGCTAAGCCAAGTGACGACCTCTACATCGAGGGGAAGCACGCGCTGTTGCAGCTTCACAGGACAATTTCACTGCCTCGTCTCCACCAAGCAGCGAAAAGGCGTCATGAAGTGTTGGCAAAGAAATTCCCCAATTTTATTGAGACAATTAAGCAAATTAATAAATTGTACAACTCACAGGAGGCTTTGAACACCGCCCTCTGCCGTATGTCGCATGCCATTGCACATCCTGCTGACTCTGAAGCTGTCAACAGGGCCATGCGGACCGTCGTCACACGCCTGACTGTTGCCAGCTGCAACAGGGCTGGTAACGTCGGTGGCGTCACCCTTGAGGACGTGAGGAACAGGCAGGTCGTCGACAATGTTGTCTGCGTCCCGCTTTCAGAGCACAAGACCGCCGATAAACACCAGGTTTACCTCTGCTTAGTGGAGAAGGAGGTTCAACTCCTCACCATGGCAGTGAGGCTGTCTCAGGAAATTCTTCCAAAAAGTAAATATGTCTTCATCTCTGCCGCTGGTAAGAAGATCAGGAAGTCGGAGTTCATATTTAGTGAATATGAACAGAAGTACGGAACCCCTCTGCGATCCAATGACATCCGGCATATTAGCGTGACCTTGGCCTTCAACAATTTGCTAGAGGGAGTGGATCACAACATGCATTCAAGGATGTTGGCTCACTCCAAGGGGACTGCATCCAAGAAGTACTTGGAGGTGAACGCCGCTCTCCTGGCAAGTTCTTTCAAGGCATACCGCGGGGCCATCGACAAGCTGGCAGTGTGAAGTGCGCCTGTTTTCATCGTCGTGAGGGTTAGGGGTGATCCCGAGGACAAAACCACTTAGTTTTTAAGTTGTGCAGTGTGTGTGTGTGTGCTAGGGTTTCAGTGCGCCTGTTTTCATCGTAGTGAGGGTTAGGGGTGATCCCGAGGACAAAACCACTTAGTTTTTAAGTTGTGCAGTGTGTGTGTGTGCTAGGGTTTCAGCGGTTCCCAGAAGGACAATACCGTAGGGTTCGGCTGGTCACCGGCCCCCTCCTCCCCACCTGGGGGTGGAGGTGCTGTGCGTTTTGTGATCAGAGATTGCATTTGAAAATTCTGATCCATTTCGTACGGCACCTCACTTGTAACTTTCATCTGACGGCGAGGACGGTGCCCCGGTGCAGGACCGCCCTGAGTGGTCCCCGGACCGTGCGCCCATTTTCTGCCCCGTGGGCCGCCGCCCCGGGGGCCCCCCGTGGGGTCCCGTCTCGCCCGGGTCGTCCTGGGCGCCGCCCCCGTGTAGGTGGGCTCGGCATGCCGGGCTCCGCGGTCGCGGTGACGTTCGAGTCCGAGTCCGAGTCCTGCCGGCCCGGCTGCACGCGGCCCGGGCCGCCGCCCCGGGGGCCCCCCGTGGGGTCCCGTGTCGCCCGTGTCGTCCTGGACCCGTGCGGACACCTGCCGGACCGCCCTGAGTCGGTCCCCGGACCGTGCGCCCATTTTCTGCCCCGTGGGCCGCCGCCCCGGGGGCCCCCCGTGGGGTCCCGTCTCGCCCGGGGAAGGGTTGGGGAAGTGGTGGGGAGAGCTCACTTTCGGACCGAATGCAAGTGGGAACACTTCAAATAAGTTGTTGTGTCTCCGAACAACTTTTCAGATCCAACCTGCCGGTATGGGTCGTTACTGTCGTTACTACCAAGGAGCCGTAGACAGCAGTTCCTCGACGATGACTTCACGGACGCAGACCGCCGATCCTACCACGACGATCCGCCCGCCCAGCGGCGAGAGCTAGAGGAAGGCGAGGGCGTGGACGAAGAAATAATCGAACCTCGCCCCTACTTCCAAGAGATGTTCTACCGTGGGGTGGAGTCCCCGAGAACAACCGCAT